GTTTTAGAAAAGATGGTATGTGACGATTCTTATCTTTCAGTTGAAGCCTTTGACATAGAATAGTACAAAAACATATTAAAGAACTAAACACGAGGCCAAACATCAGAAAGTAACTTAGCAAAGACATTGGTTCAGATGTTTTAGGCAGATTATCTCCGATCAAAGTCAGAAATACAGCTAATGCAAGTAATACAGTTATAGCATATGAAACTCGTTCTCCTGAGTTTGGTGGTAAAACAAATACGCATGCATTTAACAACATCAGAAATATAACAGGAAGTACAATGTTGACAACATAAAAACCTGGACGTCTCTTCATTGAAATCGACATATCAATGAATGACGAACCAATCGAACCATCTACTATACTTTTGGCAGACGCAGAATTTATTTTCCAACTCCCATGTTCCGTATAATAATTCAGGTTGATGTCAGAAGATGACAGCAACACAATTTCATTTGATGACGTTCCCCATGCCATCAAACGTATTGTACAAATCTGTTCGTCAAACGGGAAGTACGTAATATCCACACTACATGAACTAATTAAAATTTCACCTGGTGTCCAGTATGCAAAACCATTGCTAGAATATCTTACCGTCATAAAATCTTTTCCAATCTTTTCGATTTTACTGAAAGGATTTGTAATAACAAGTGATGGTTTCCATATATCATCTTGTAAAAACAACATAGTGTTCGTATTATTGAAGTCTAGTGGATTCCAAGTCATTCTTGAATCATACCATGTGATTCGAAAAAATCCAATGACGGCATATTTTCCGTTTACTTCGTCGAATTCTTGAATGGCACCCAAATTGAAAGAAACATTAATTTGTGCAGCAACTGATTGGTCATCTCCTGGTCTAATCTTTTTATTGTAGTCCATTACCATTTTTGTATATAATCTGCTAACATCAGATAGGGTAGAGCCAAAATTAGGTTTTCCACTATTTAGCAAAAGCAGCAGAAAAAGTATCAATTTAATCCACGCCATTTGTCACACTTTATTGTCAAATTGTATATATAACAATGTTTTCGAATTTCTAAATCATTGTTCATAATCAGTCCATGAATAGGTAAATAATGAAATTACGATTTTCATTAGTAGCCAACATGTTTATTTCGTATGTAGTCTGTGAATCGAATACTATTTACTTATTCATCAATTATCATCAGTGTCAATATACGAACTGTAACATCCTTCTTCTTCCAATGTATACCGTGCAGATTATATGCTTTTTTTAATATACAGTTTTGTATCACTGTCTAAAAACAATAATATCCTCCTTCGACAGAAATAAACTCTTACAAAGTACATGTTGATTGTCGAAACTTAAACGACTCAAACAATGCTCATTATTCATATTTCCATCTGCATGTAATTTAACACTTAGTCGATTTTAATCATTAAAACGCTTTTATGTAATCAATACAATTAATGGAAGTTATTATATTTCAAATATTATAAAGAAATTTGTGTTCATGATATTTACTGTTATAATACGTTTAGGATTTTACATTAAACACTTACTGTCCAGGAAATCTTCAAATAAATGGTTGAAAATCAGTAAATGGATAACATCGATTAAATAACTTAAACAATGCAGTGTTAACATAGTACTTCTATATGGCACCAGTCAAACGTTTAGTCAGTTGATATTTACACGTTATCTTAATTACAACATGATTGTCCTTGACACTGAGGGCCTTATTTTAAATTTTTTCTGTATATTTGCAGTAACGTTTAATTTAATGTTCCACTCAAAAGTTTCACGTATTTACAGTATACTGTTATAGCATCACTGATGTATACCCAACATTTCCTTCCATTTATAATATGATTACATTTTTATATAGCTAAACAAATTTTGAGAGCTCAACCAAAATATGGAGGGAAGAAAGCTATTAGTAATCCAAACTAAAATCTTACCAAAGCAAAAGCTATTATTAGTTGCGAAACTTCATACTCCATACGCGGATGAAGTTGGTGAATTGCTGTTAAGGTGAGAAAAAAAAATTTCAGAATTGAAATCGTCTCGCTTGTCAAAGATTCTGTTACTGGGATGACGTCCGTTGTCAAATTCGAGGTAAATGTCTAGAAATGAGGCGGAGGAAACCTATGCTTTAAACTAATGAAACAAAAATTAAAGAAATTACATTACTCCAAAAGGATCAAGGCCTGGTGGGTTGACATCGTTATAACATAAACGGTACCTATTTTTCTGCACCAGATGCGCATTTCGACAATCAATGTCTCTTCAGTGATGCTCGAGGCCAAAAGTGAGTAAGTGTCTCCTGCTTTTTATACACCTCCTGCCGTGTGAATCCACACTCAGTCCAAATGTTACAGTTTGAAATAGAACACCTTCGGTAATAATACAGATCTGACGATTATTCCGGTATCTAAAGATCTTAGACCGTGGAAACATGTCGTTAGTGTGTTAAGATACACGCACATCGGTTCTGTTTACCAAATTTGTGATGGTGACCGTAAAACTTACGTCGTTTCGATTTCTGTTCTTCTTGCTCATAGCCCTGTAGAACTGGTGTTTGTCTAAGGAGCACAATATAACATACGTATAGTGTGAATGTTCACGATCGTACAGTAGTAATTGAGATATGTAAACGCCATAATAGTGGTAGAGGGTATGTTACTTTTAAGAAATGGGCAGATGACAATTGGAAAGTTGAAATAATCACATTTGTTATTAATTCTGGTTTGAAATCGTCCATGTATGTCAATATTGCAATGTGGGTTATTGAGCAACAAGACAAAAATTTCAATATAACTGAAAGTGAAAATAAAAAACCTTGGAAAATGCATTTTTCTTTTTGCCTTTGGGAAGAGAGGCAAAAGATATCGAAGGGATATTCAAACTCATAAGTCGAAAACAAACTGATAATGCTATGGCAAAAAACGAAAAACGACGAAAAGACAAACAGCAGAACACAAAACACAACATAGAAAACTAAAAAGTGAGAAACACGAGCCCAACTAAAACCAGGTGTTCCGGAAGGGTAAGCAGATCCTTCTCTGCAGGTGGCACCCATGAGAAGGTCCTGTATAAATTCTGCTTCCTATTACATAAAAGTAATTCTGCCAGTAGAAGTGCTCAATTGGAACCAATTGGAAAACCACCTTTCTGGTGAAGTATTATTCCACCAAACTCAACAAACATATTGAATCACAATCAAGGAGTAATACGACGGGTGTCACACGTGGAGCGGGATCGGCCTACCCTTCTGAAGCACCTGAGATCAACCCCATTCTTGGTGGGGTTCGTGTTGCTCAGTCTTTGGTTTTCTACGTTGTGTTTTGTTTTTTGTTGTTTGTCTGTTTGTCTTTTTTTTTTTTGCCATGGCGTTGTCAGTTTATTTTCGACTTGAGTTTGAATGTCCCTTTGGTATCCTTCGCCTCTCTTTTTATATTCCTATATTTTAATCTCTCCGTTAGGGCACATCGCTTTTTTTTTCTTTTTTTTTCTTTTTACAATAAAATTTTGTTTCAACATTGCGTTCTCTTGTTCATTGACCAACTGAAGTTGTTTCATTATGAAACATTAAGTTTCTGTAAAAAATCTGAAGGTTTCCCCAGGAACAAAGTTGGTTAATGATTCAATAAAAACCACCTGTTCTTTATATTGAACTGAAATCTAAATAATTCATTTCTTCTTAGACCACGGAATAGTATTGTAAATATATATATATATATATATATATATACAGAATGAGTTTTCAGCCTTGTATCACCATCACTGGTAATCCGATGGATAAAATCTCTCATAGAGTTGTCACTGGTTCAGACGTACTTATAATATACTTTTTTCTGTGAATGCATGCTACATTAATTTGTAAGATCCTTTACGATAGATAATTCAGTTGATCTGTAAAAATTCCATCTTCATGCCTTATATATCATGTACTGTGTTACGACGCTAGATTAAAGCTGACGAGGAAAGGCCACTGAAAGCTTTATTATTGTACAGCCTAGGTGGTCGAGTGGTCTAGCGCGTCGGACACAGTGCAAGGCGATTTGGTGCCACGATATCTCAGTAGCATGAGTTCCAATTCCGGCCAGGGAAGAACAAAAAATTTGCTTCCGCAAATTTACAGATCTAACATTGTTAGGCTGTTATTTAGACGAATTATATATATATACATGTATACAAGTCTAAATTGAAAACAACGTTCAGACCTATGATTGCGTTGAATAAAAACCGCAATTTTTATACGTGTGCATGCAAAACATGTCTTGGTAGAGGGGTCTAAATACAGCACAAACAACATTTTCCAAAAGACCAAAAAAGTGAAAAAGTATATTTAAACAAAACGCATTTGACTAGCAGGTCGAACAACGGATGTTCTTAAACCCTGCTGACTGCTATTGACGATTGCCAAATAAACGGACCACAAGCTGTAACAAAATGGATCTTAATTATTAATTTAATATCAAACAGAAAACAATAAACTTGCGGAAAAGATGGTATACCGCAAACAAAAGGTGCAAAATTAGTACACCATATCCGGATTTCGACAATTAATGTCTCTTCAGTGATGTAAGTAATCGAAACGGTATTTGGAATGCCATATAATTTACCTAAATTTAGGATAGACTCTCGAATTTGGAAGAGTTGAAATAGGATGAACGGATCATATATATATATATTGGTACTTCACGATTTTGATAGTATAAGTGAGGCGAAAGATACCAAAATGGAAATCAAATTCATCAACCGAAAATGAACTGACGACGCCCTGGCAAAAAAATCTGTAAACATTTAAAACAGACAAACGTAAAAAATGTTTATCTAGGCAAGAAACCGAGCTTGTTTTGCTATATGATATGAATAATAACAAGACTGACCACAATACGTCTTTTATTCAAAATGAGATTATTCCAAATTTAATTTGCAAATAAAACATTTGACTTCAAAATTCTTAATAGTGATTAAAATATAATTCATAAGAAATAAGAAATAATATCAACTAAAAGCAACCAATTTAAAATGTGGAAAAAATAGTAAAGAAAGTGGGAAGAAAACTCTGGCCTACAAGCATGAAAATATATACATACTTTCTGCTGTATATTAATTTGTAGGTTATATGATGTTATAAGCACAAAAACTCATTAAAGGTAATTAATTCAATTACTGCAAATGATTATAAAGACATTTCTAGTAATAATAAAGTTTAAACTAACGTACTTGTCTTTATAAAATTGGCGTTTTTCATTTTATAATTAATATCCTGCAAATCATCGAAAAAAATGATATTTACAATCAGTAAATGATCAGAAAGCGATGATACAGCTATTATCTTGGTATGCTAAATACCCGTTTTATTTCTATTCATTTCTATAATAACATAAATATTCCAGACCATATAGAAGTAAACTACTCAGTTCCCTCTTTAACAAATATGAAATCGTTTATCTTCAAATGTGATAAGCATGTGAATAATACAATATATCCAAATGACGGACTAGCACATCTTCCCCTTTCATCCTAGACTTTATGACATTAAAAGGAATAGTGCTGATGGCTTTATAATATTACTCTTTTATTTACATTTCGTTTCAATTAACAAAATTCTGGAAAGTACTTTATTAAAGTATATATTGTTCAGTATTCTTAACATTATTTAAACGTATGTTTATCTAAATGTTGGTTTTTATTTTCAGTCCCTCAATTTTGTACAGCAAACTTTTGTATCATTCTTTTGACAATGAATATTCTAAAAGTCATTCTGTTCTTTCCATTTCTATATCAATTGGAAACAAATGAGGAGGTACTATAAGGACCAAACTTTATTTTCTTTTATATGTAAATAGCATAATGAAATCTGGACACTTAGGTTCAGAACTATTCGTATGGAAATGTACAGATTGACATATATGACATGAGATTGTCATTTTTAAAGAGATTTTTTATAAAATTAGTAGTTACTTAAACCTAACCCAAAAAGATATTTCATATCAATAAACAACTTTTTTAGACATCTCGTAGCAAAATACCTAGTCGTGGTAATTTTATCCTGATGTCAGGTCAACATCTGAAGGTTATGTTTCGATATTTTTATATTGTGTCTTTACGAATTCAATCGAACTTTTCAAGTGGCCCTTTCGTACATTCTCTTTTCTTTGAAAATCTTGTTTACTTTACTCTATTATCTAAATCGACTTTGTAACAACAACGAAGAATAACAATGCACTAACTGAGATTCCTCCAAATGAAACCCATAAAAAGATTGTATTAAGTGTTAAACAGATGTCGTTCCACGAAACATCGTTCCTGACGTTAGTAGTTAAACTTTCATTGCCATTCACATTTGAATTTTGACGATTTGATGTGTTGTTTAATATAATACTCCATTCTCTCTCTGTTCTTGGTTTATCGGGTCTACAACACAATACCAGCCGTTTTAGAAAAGATGGTATGTGACGATTCTTATCTTTCAATTGAAGCCTAAGACATAGAATAGTGCAAAAACATATTAAAGAACTAAACACGAGGCCAAACATCAGAAAGTAACTAAGCAAAGCCATTGGTTCAGATGTTTTAGGCAGGTTATCTCCGATCAAAGTCAAAAATACAGCTAATGCAAGTAATACAGTTATAGCATATGAAACTCGTTCTCCTGAGTTTGGCGGTAAAACAAATACGCATGCATTTAACAACATCAGAAATATAACAGGAAGTACAATGTTTACAACATAAAAACCTGGACGTCTCTTCATTGAAATCGACATATCAATGAATGACAAACCAATCGAACCATCTACCATACTTTTGGCAGACGCAGAATTTATCTTCCAACTCCCATGTTCTAAATAATAATTCATGTTAATGTCAGAAGATGACAGCAACACAATTTCATTTGATGAAGTTCCCCATGCCATCAAACGTATTGTACAAATCTGTTCGTCAAACGGGAAGTACGTAATATCCACACTACATGAACTAATTAAAATTTCACCTGGTGTCCAGTATGCAAAACCATTGCTAGAATATCTTACCGTCATAAAATCTTTTCCAATCTTTTCGATTTTACTGAATGGATTTGTAATAACAAGTGTTGGTTTCCATATATCATCTTGTAAAAACAACATAGTGTTCGTATTATTGAAGTCTAGTGGATTCCAAGTCATTCTTGAATCATACCATGTGATTTGAAAAAATCCAATGACGGCATATTTTCCGTTTACTTCGTCGAATTCTTGAATGGCACCCAAATTGAAAGAAACATTAATTTGTGCAGCAACTGATTGGTCATCTCCTGGTCTAATCTTTTTATTGTAGTCCGTTACCATTTTTGTATATAATCTGCTAACATCAGATAGAGTAGAGCCAAAATTAGGTTTTCCACTATTAAGCAAAAGCAGTAGAAAACATATCAATTTATTCAACGCCATTTGTCACATTTGTACAGTTACCACTTTGTTGTCAAATTGTACATATAACAATGTTTTCGAATTTCTAAATCATTGTCCATAATCAGTCCATGAATAGTTAAATAATGAAATTCGCTTTTAAGATTTTCTCATTAGTAGGCAGCATGATTATCTCGTATGTAGACTGTGAATCGAATACTTTTTACTTATTCATCAATTATCATCATTGTCAATACACGAACTGTTACATCATTCTTCCTCCAATGTATACCGTGCAGCTTATATGCTTTATTAAAATATACAGTTTTGTATCACTGTCTAAAAAACAATAATATCCTCCTTCGACAGAAATAAACTCTTACAAAGTACATGTTGACTGTCCAAAAAACAATCATATATGTTCATCATTTATATGTCCTTGTGGTTGTCATTTGAAACTTTGACGATTTTATCATTAGAACTCATTTCAGGTAATCAATACAATTAATACAAGTTATTATATTTTTGCTATTAGAATGAAATGTGTTTTATGATATTTACTGTTATAATACGTTTGGGATTTTACATTAAACACTTACTGTCCAGGAAATCATCAAATAAATGGTTGAAATCAGTAAATGGACAACATTGATTAAATAACTAAAACGATGCAGTGTTATCATAATATTTCAATATAGCACCAGTCAAACGCTTAGTTAGTTGATATTGTTACGCCCCTGTGGTTTGACAGTTTATATCAATATTATTGTGATTTTAACTTGTGTAAATTACATAGTTGTGTTCATATTATCACTGTGGTCTTCGTTCCACACTTGATACACGCAGATGTTTGCTATTGTGTTCTGTTCCGTATTTTAGAGAAGGAATAGCGTACTATTATACTAGACCTATTATTATTAAATTACTGTTTAACCTACGAATCGACTTTATTTATAAGTGAAATTGTTCAGTTTTGTATTTGCCTTCGTTTACTTTTAATGTAACGCGCCAAATGGAACGTTACATGTTCCTGTTCTTGTTTATGAAGAACTTGTGTATTACGTCACCAGTAAACGACACTTTTGAATAAATTGCGGAACGCATGTTCTAACTGGGAGATTCTCTCCAAGATCCTCCATGCGGTTAGCAGTATATCTCAAACAATATTTTGCTGCACTAAGTAAGAGTGCTTGGTGATAATATTTAACAAACTTGATAATTAACCAAGTCTCCATATCCAAATGCTGACGTAATGTTTGCTCGGGTAAATCGCCAACCATGCACCGAGTATGCCGAATATTTGAATGTAGTGCACCAGGCAGATTTTCCTGCACCAAATATGCAGAGTATTAGAATGCAGTGTCCGAAGTGGATTTCCTTGCACCGAGCGCTAGAAGATTTGTTTTATTAAACTTGCTGCAAGTAAAGCACCTTGCTGTATTACTTATTATATATTATAAATGTATTTTATTTCATCTCATATATTTTATGAACAACTGTGTTTGTTGTATTGCATATTAATTACTGAAGCAGAAAATATTACAATTTATGAAATTCCATTATGATTTTTATTATTACTTCCTTCACCGGAGGCCCACATAAGTAACACCAGGTCTCCGGACTCAAAAACCCCAAATTGCGAGAGCTGAACCAAAATATGGAGGGAAGAAAGCTATTCGTAATCAAAACTGAAATCAAATTTAAAACTATCAATTGTCTTTAATATTCAATTCCATTGCGATTGCTGATGTATATAATACAAACATTAAACACATTTTAATAACGCCATCAACTTGTCTTTAACATCAACCGTGTAACGATGAATAACTTTTTGATTTTTATAATTATAAGTGAAATTGTTGACGTGTTCATTTCCCGATTACAATTTGCTTCCGTAAAATGATATAAAGATGCTGTCAAATACCATGTAAAAATAAGACGTTAGGAGGTAACGAAATGTCACAAATTACAGAACAGACAACACTTGATCCAATGGAGAGAAAAAAAACTTTAAAACACATATATCTATAGTATCGCACGCCCTTACCACTTTTATACATTTTTCATATTTTATTATAACATAAAATTTTCTAAACTAAAGCTCAGAAAATGAACGGAAAGTCATTTAGAAAATATCCAGGATTATCATGATTATCTCAAGAAATTAAGAACATCTAATTCTATTTGTCAAAATGCGAGAATATTCCAGATTAAGCTGAGGTAATTCCGGTTTAATTTATTCTGCGAGAAAATCTAGGTTTCTTTCAGACTCTTAAAAACTGATTACAGTGTTATCAAGCGTTATGTTACATACATTGCTTATAGAACAATTGTTTTAAATGAAAAGGCTAGCGTATTTATTTGTTCTTTATATCTTATAATAAATAAAATAAGGAGATGTGGAATTAATCCTAATGAGTTTAAATTAAGGTTCATCATAACAAATGGACAAAAATGGCTGTATTTCCACCTCAAAAACTACTGAAAGTACAGACTAACCTGTGCAGTTGGAAAAGTTTTAATGCCTGGCATCCACTAGATATATAAAAGTTAAATGCATTTTGAGTTTCAGAAAGATAAAATCTTTTTTGGATTTTGATGGGCATTTTTTTTCATTCCTGCGGAATATGTAAAAATAAATTAAGTTGGGATACAACTTTGAGATGCTCCCTCTCAGGTAAAAAGTATTGATTGTCCTTGATTGACATAGACAATAGACAGACAATAGATATCTACACAACTATAAGTGAGTTATAGGGTTTAACTGAGTGGATAGTATCGAAGCAATTCAGGTGTTTGTTTATTTTTACACCTTCTGCAGAAAGGAAAAAAATGCCCATCAAAATCCAAAAAAGATTATATCTTTCTGAAACACAAAATGCATTTACCTTTTATATATCTAGTGGATGCCAGGCCTTAAAACTTTTCCAACTGGACAGGTAAGTCTGTACTCAGAGTAGTTTTTGGGGTGTAAAAACGGCAATTTTGTCCATTTGTTATGATGAACCTTAAGCGGATTTACGCAATTGTAGGTCACCGTACGGTCTCAACACTGAGCAAAACTCATACCGTATAGTGAGCGATAAAAGGCCTGACATGATAAATTGTGAAACAATTCAAATGAGAAAGACAACTTGTGTATATTAAGGAAGTTCGCTACTCAGTTTCAAAATAACAAGCTTTTCATAACACTAGTATATATTGATAGGGGATTAATAAAGGAACAAAAAGAGCAAAAATAAAATATAGGTCAATGTGCTTGTTTTCGAGATATAAGCCATTGAAATTTTGGCGGGAAAATACCCTCTCTTGATTTTTCATAGCTTTATCATTGACAAGTTAAAGTTCTCAAAAACTATTAAAAAAATAATTAAGATTTTATAAGACTTTTACAGATGGCTTATGATTATGCATGTAAAAGATTTTTAAAAAGAAAAATGGGGGTCAATGGGCAAACTTTTTTAAGGCATTCAAATAGATAAAATAAGAGGATTCCGAAAATCTGACAAAAATTCTAAAACATGACAAGCGAACTTCCTTAAGTGTTGTTTTAAGATCTCTCAGGAAGATTAGTATTTGCTACTAATGTCTTCTTGTTTGAAATAAATATTGTTCATTTTGTGGCAGACGGGATTATTATATAATTGTTATTTCCCTTGTTTAAAACTATAAATTTCATATTTCTTTATTTAATAATTTACATGATGCTTTTCAGTACATATTTGTTAAATTGAATAGCTATTGCTATTTTGAATTCATTGTTTAAAGATATTTATTTATATTCTAAAGTTTAGTATTTGCATCGTCGCAAAACATTTATTACCTTCTTCTTCTTCTAAAGTGTGTTAGTTAATTCTTTGATACAAGGAGTTTGAAATCGAACAGTACATAAATGAGACATTATCATGTGATAGATCTGATTTAATCAGAAAAATGGCCAAGAAACACACAAAGGAAATTCCTTTAGTATTGGCAAACGAAATTCAATCCATGCATTCATAAATTAAAACAATGCATTAGTAAACATTGGGATATACTAACAAAAAGGATGCGGTATGCAACGAAGTATTTTCAAGCAAACCAATAAAAGCTTATAAAAAGCATAAAAATATAGCAGATCTATTGACAATGACAAAATTAAAATAAACTGATAGGAAAATCCCTGATGATGGCTGGCCTAGAATGCTTAAACCCATTCATAAATGTTATACATTTATCATTAGCATATAATACAAAAACCGCCGAAACACTAAATTAGTGTCGGATTGATGTAAAGCAATTGCAAGTCTAGTAATACTAACATCACATGATCATTATTTTGGAATATAATTACAATAAAATACTAATAGTATGTATACGGAGTCTTCTAAAGTAGATTTTTTACTATCGGAATTCAAATTGATGTTGGAATGCGTGGATGTAAGGTGTCACTTTTATACAAAACTTATATATTTTATATAACTGGTTTGAAATTATTATGTTGAATTGTCTGAGCACTGACGTTCAGTCCAACCTAGGAAAGCCGTGCTTTCCAATCACACTTTAAGTTTAGTGCATCTGCCATATGCTTTCTTAATACGGGTAAATATTGAAGTTATTGAATGCTCCATTTCTCTACTTTTGGGTTACATAATAAAAGTTGTATTTGTTGATTAAATTATATATTGTTTTTACTGTTTTTCGTTTTCATCTAAATAGATATTTAGTTAGCGTTTTTACATTAAGCATCCATCGTCTCTGTTAAATCAGTTCACAAACTAGAACAAGCTGTGGTCCGCATCCCCGAATCTCCAGCAGAATTGCTCCTGCTACATTTTGGTCCCGCGAGGCGGATGTGGAATTTTAAGGCAACTTTTCTGGTGTGTAACTGAACTAAAATTATTTTGGGGAAAATTTATAAGAAATGGAGCAGACATTTGAGTCAGTACTTGTTGTAATTGGATATGACAGTCCTAAGCAGACCAGTTTTGAAGAGTTGGGCCGATAGTTACTCTTGGGGTATTTTATTTTCATAGTTTGGTTCATTTTGTAAATATATATTATTTAGTTATGATTAGGTTTGAAGAAAAACCTTCTTTTTTTATGGTGTCAGCATTGATATCACCGATTACTTTGTTCATTTTGAGACAGTTTCTCTCCGGAATCAGTGGAATGAATTTGAGATGGCATTTCAGTTAATAATGAATTTGAGAGGTGATGCTCAAACTATTTTACGTTTCTTAAAAGGCCTCAGTTGTATGATTATGACTGCTTGAAAAATTTACTCATTTAGAGGTTCAATTCTAAGGAGAGGGTGACATATTTTAAATTTCAACTGCGAGTTTGTAGATTGAAGGAAAATGAAACAATTTCTGAATTTGTTCAGCGTTTTAAGATACTAGCTCATAAGGCTTATCCTGATAATTTTTCAGATTTAGATGTGTATTTTACTGACTTATTTACATCATGTTTGAATATTGAGATGGCTAAATTTGTCACCTTTATGCACCCTAATAGTTTAGATGAGGCTTTAACATTAGCTATTGAATATGAAGCTTTTCATTTTACTGGTGATCCAGAGACTATTGGTGAGTCAGAAAGTTCAGCTTGTT